TCCTAAATATTACACACTAGACCTTTAAAGTATTTTTCCTGTTTTTCTTTGTGAAGCAGTTTATAATTTTTATTTGAAAAGTGCATTACAGATCATTATAATTATAAACATTTATCATTGCATCTATAATTATTAAACTAATTCTGCCAATTTATCCAAGTAGATATAAGGTCATATAATCAGGGCATCAGAAGAGGGCAGATAGATATCTGGAGGATTTCTTTAAGTGGCACTTTATCTTACACAAGCAATCGTTATAAAAAGAATAAAATAGATTGCAGCTGAGACTCAAAATAAAACCCTCAGTACAGCAGCAGCTGATCTTCCCTGGCAGACATACGTCGAAAGTAGGCAAGGTTCTTGCTCAAACAGCTAATTTTCTCTTCCTTCTTGACACAGGCCCTGTAAATTTCAGGGTGCGCTTGAGTAATTCCAGTTGATCTATTATAATTTGACTGAAGATAGTTATTTCCAGGAGTACAAATATGATAACCTTATTTCACCGGGCTGCAGAGGCAGAGCGCTGCCGACTTCTCCTGAGATGAAGGGTTGAATTACACTACGATGGTCTAAAAATAGTGGACTCTGTGACTGAATGCACTGCCTTTAATATTTAGGCCGCCTATTGGGAAATATGGCTGGAAATGGCAGCACTCTGATAGCTCCAAAATCAGTGACATGTTTACTATTAAAGCCCGAGGAAGGCCTGGTGAGATAATTTTCAATTTGGCTGGGAGAGCACTTGATTTGACCTATTTTACACTGTAGCCAGTTATGTGAATGTAGGAGCAAATATGGGAAATAGTGGAAATATTTAGAGTATTTATTTTTTTTTGCCAGCTCTCTCATCCTATATTCTTCCATGCTGTTTGATGCTGTTGGAGTTACCGGCATAGTGTAGTGGAGCATCTTTGTCCAGGGCAAAGAGAGGGGGATTGAGCAGCACGGTGTTGTCGTTCTCCATGACAATCCCCTGGTACTCTGTCTCGATCCATGGCTTGTGCTTATTGGCTGAACGGCACAGAGAAGAGGAGAGACCGAAGAGGCTTTGGGTTAAATGGAGCAATTAGAAGGAACCAATGTGTCTATTTTTAACACTCCATTATGGGTGAGGACATGGTGAGAGTGCGCATGAGTGGAAAAATACACAATGTATGCGTGTGACCACAAAGACACCGTTTAATCACATTCGCACCCTCACAGATTCCCCCTCTTTCTTCCTTTCTCCATAAAGACCTCCTTCTCTGGTTCATGTCTAGCGCCACTCGGCACACCTCCCTGGTTGGCAGTGTAATTAAAGCCAGTCAGATTTCACCTTATCACACACAGAGAGGTATGTTGCTCATATCAATCAGGAAAACTGACCTGCCACCGGCAGCTGCACAATAACGCACTACAAAAACAGCCGAGTCAAAATCAAATGCCTAAGGTTTACTGTGAATTTAACCTTTAATTGCGAATTAATTATTCATCCCTGTGCTGAATGTTCTCTGCTGAATGATCAAAGGCCAAGTTAATGAGGCAGAAGGATGACGATTTTACACTCCAGCAAAGAGCAAAAACAAAAGCCAGAGCGCCTCCCCTCTGTTGTCCTCAATCTCTTAACGCTGGAGCTCCAGAGTTTGAAATCAGACGGAGGCACAAGACTTGTGTTAAGCAATTGCTTTGTTGTCTACACAGTGAATTTTCCAGAAAATCAGACTGGAACAAATTTCGCTGTCTTGTCTGTGAGAAGAGAGTCAACAGAGCGAAATGCTGCTGGTTGTGAATCTGATGAAACTTATCTCTCTTCAAAGACAGAGCCATTTGAAATGTTACGATTATAGAACCAGTAAGAAACAATACTTTTTTTAGATACCGTCGCTTTAGATAGCTTCTTGTACAACTACTCAAGTGCTGTATTTAAGTACAATTTGGAGGTACTTTACAAGACCATTTCCATTGTGTGCTACTTTATATCTCTACTTTCCCACATTTCAGAGGGGAATATTTATTAGATTTCACAATCCAATAAAGGAATTATGTAATATACCACTCTGAAAGAGGACTTTCTGCTGCCTAATGAGTGCTAGCTGAAGCTAACAGGGTGTTAAGTTGAATACATAACTTGCAATGGGGTATTTTTACATTGAGGTGTTTCTACTTTCAGAGGCAAAACAATTAGATGATTAATCAAGCTAGTTGACAGAAAAAGTATATGTGACTATCTTGATGATTGAGTCATCGTTAATAATAGTAATTTTTAAAGCAAAAATAACCATAATTGCTTCTCTTCTGTGAGCACTTTGCTCTTAAATGATAATAAAGGGAAATGATCTGGGTTTTTTACTGTTGGTTGTACAAAATAAGCAATTTGAGGACATTAACTGGACTCTAACCCCATGATTCACTGTTATCCAACTTCTTTATACATAAAATGATTAATTGAGAATTGAAAATAATCGGCAGTAGCGACAGTTATTGTTAGTTTTGGCCCTAGCTGAGATTTCAATGCCTCTTTGACCACTGATTTTCTTCAAAGAAATTCATTTTTAATTCAGCAACAAGAACTTAACCTGAATAAAATAATCCTGATTTGAATAAGTAAAGAGCTCAAATCTGACTGAGCTTTTCATGGCAGAAATTTGGGTCTGTACCAAAACAGTACATTGGTTCGATACCCAGCTCCAATCAAAGACATTCATCGTCTCCTCTCAAGGTCCAGCCTGACACCGTCTCCTCCTCCTCTATTCCCACAGTCCTCTGCCACGTCCCCTTTTTGGTCATTTATCTCCCAACCCCCGTCCCCTCGGCTGATCTCCCCCCTCCCTCCCTCCTCTGCTCTGCTATATAGCATTAATCTGAGCATCAGGCCTGTGGATTACATCCGGGATTACAGATTGAGAGGCATCCCATTCCATCTCTGTCTGTCTCTCCTGGCACTCTTCCTCTCTCTGTCACTCTATCGCCCCACAACACTCACCCTCCCCTGGTCCTCTGTCTCGCTCCCACACACACACACACACACACATATATATATACACACACTCTGGTATATCAGACTTTTTCCTTTTTCCTTTTCCCTCGTGTCACCTGATCTCACGTACCACCTCTCTCTCCACCACCTCCTCCTCCTCCCTTCTTATCAGCCTGCGTCTTTTTGGCCACGTCCTCTCCTGTCACAGCTCCTTTTCCTCTCCCCCTCTCTCCTCCTCTCTCCTCCTCTCCCTCCTCTCTCTCTCTCTCTCCCCCCTCTCTCTGTGTTTCTCTGACACTCCATCTCTCCTTCAATCTCCTCGTCTTTCCTGCATCACTCTCCTCTACCTCCTTCTCTGACATTCTCCCTCCACGCTGTCTGTTTCATTCGCCTTCGCCTTCGCCTTCCCCTTAGCATGATAATCATTGGAACAATGATGTTGAATCAGAGTCACGGTTATCCGGGATGATAAATCTGCTATAGAGGAGGAAACAGATTTATCATCTTCTCAGAGTCACAGCACAGGCACATGCACACTGGGTCACGAACACGAAACACAACACGTATAAATATGAATGTAGTCTCAAAAGCACTGTTTATGTAATGAGGAACGCTATGATTGGTGATTACACGTATGAGGGACAGCAATAAAGTCATCAGGAGAATTTCAGGGCTGAACAGCCATGGCCCTGCCCAAGCACCTTGACAGGTCCGTGTGCACCCATGGCAATCTAAACCTTCATCTCAACACTTCACAATAACAGTCAAAAGGATGAGGAACTGACCTTTGTTGCCATTGGCAACCGAAGTCAAGCAAAGGAGGAAGAAGGAGAGAAAATTCATTCTGTCCATCTGAGGGAGGAAAGGAAAGGAAAAGGTAGAGGGGGCAAGGG